CAAACCTTGACCCAGCTGAGCCCTCTCTCGTCAAGGCTTGTTCGCTGCTAGGAATTGACGCCAACACTTTCGCCAAGTGGATTGTAAAGAAGCAACTCATTACCAGAGGAGAGAAGATTGTCTCCAACTTGACGCAGCAGCAGGCTATCGTGGTCCGAGACTCCGTTGCCAAGTTCATCTATTCGAGCTTGTTCGACTGGCTGGTCGAGCGCACAAACGAGAGTCTGGCCACCGAAGAGGTTATTGCGCAAGCCCACACCTTCATTGGTGTCCTCGATATCTACGGTTTCGAGCACTTCGCAAAGAACTCTTTCGAGCAGTTCTGTATCAACTACGCTAATGAAAAATTGCAACAAGAGTTCAACGCACACGTCTTCAAGCTGGAGCAGGAGGAGTACATGCGCGAACAAATCGACTGGACTTTCATCGACTTCGCCGACAACCAGCCTTGTATCGATCTTATTGAAGGCAAGCTAGGTATCTTGTCTTTACTAGACGAAGAGTCGCGCTTGCCCATGGGTTCGGATGAGCAATTCGTTACTAAGCTACACCACAACTACTCCGGAGACAAGCACAAGTTCTACAAGAAGCCCCGGTTCGGCAAGTCGTCCTTCACCGTCTGCCATTACGCCATCGATGTCACGTATGAATCTGATGGCTTCATCGAGAAGAACAGAGATACTGTGCCGGACGAACACATGGAGGTCCTCAAGGCTGCAAGCAATAAGTTCTTGACCCAAGTCTTGGACGTTGCTGCGTCGATCCGAGAGAAGGAGAATGCTACTAGCGCTTCGTCCAAGCCGGGTACTGCCATGTCGGCTGGCCGAAGGATGGCGACCAACCGCAAGCCAACACTCGGTGGTATCTTCAAATCGTCTCTCATCGAACTCATGCAGACCATCAACTCAACCGACGTCCACTATATCCGATGTATCAAGCCCAATGAGGCCAAGGCTGCTTGGCAATTCGATGGACCCATGGTTCTCAGCCAATTGCGCGCTTGTGGTGTTCTCGAAACTGTCAGGATCAGTTGCGCCGGTTACCCCACACGATGGACTTATGAGGAATTCGCCCTGCGTTACTACATGTTGGTCAGATCCGCTGACTGGACGCCCGAAATCCGAAACATGGCCACGGCAATCTTGAAGAAGGCGCTAGGTGCCGGCAAGAACGATGGCACCGATAAGTACCAGATGGGTTTGACAAAGATCTTCTTCCGCGCTGGTATGCTTGCGTTCCTCGAGAACTTGCGTACAGCCAGACTCAACGATGCCGCCGTCATGATTCAGAAGAACCTCCGAGCCAAATACTACCGCCGTATCTACCTCGAGATGCGCGAGGCTGTCATCCACGTGCAATCATTGGCTAGGGGCTACATGACCAGGGAACGAGCCGAGGAGGCCAGGCAGGTCAAGGCTGCAACCACAATTCAGAGAGTCTGGCGTGGTAGCAAAGACCGCAAGCGCTTCCTTGTTGTCCGAAACTCGCTTATCAAGTTTGAGGCAGCCGCAAAGGGATTCTTGCTCCGTAAGAACATCCTGGACAAGAGGCTTGGAGATGCTGCTCGCATGATCCAACGCAACTGGCGCAAACAAAGATACATCCGCGCCTACAAGAAGGAGATCAACGACATCATCACTGTCCAGAAGCTCTGGAGGGGAAGGAAGGCCCGCAGGGAATACAAGGTCCTCCGCGCCGAATCTCGCGATCTCAAGAACATCTCTTACAAGCTCGAAAACAAGGTTGTCGAGCTTACCCAGAATCTGGGTACGATGAGGGAGCAGAACAAGTCGCTCAAGTCTCAAGTGGAGAACTACGAGAGCCAGATCAAATCGTACAAGGAGCGCAGCCGTACACTCGAGAACCGCCAGAAGGAGCTACAAGCCGAAGCCAACCAGGCTGGTATCACCGCTGCCAAGCTCAGCCAGATGGAAGACGAGTACAAGAAGCTGCAGACAAGCTACGAAGAGAGCACCGCAAAGATGCGCCATCTTCAAGAAGAGGAGAAGGAACTCCGTGCGTCGCTTAAGAGGACCACAGACGACCTCGAGCAATCCAAGAGGAGGAGCAATGTCACTGAGACCGAAAAGATGTCGCTCCGCCAGCAACTCGCCGAGCTGCAAGAGCAGGTTGAACTGATGAAGCGATCCGGCCCAATGCCTGGTGAGCTGACAAACGGTCACTCCACGGCCATAGCCCCCAGCAGCTTGATCAAGCTTGTCTCGTCGAAGAAGCCAAAGAGGCGCAGTGCTGGACCAGACACCCGCGACATCAACCGATTCAGCGAACAATACAACCCGCGACCTGTCTCCATGGCTCCTGGTTCCACCATTCACAGGCAAAACCTCTCCGGCTCAACGTTTGCTCAACTCGATAACGTCGAGCTTGAGCTTGAGAACATCCTTGCTGAGGAGGACATGCTAAACGATGAGGTCACTCTTGGCCTGATCAAGAACCTGAAGATCCCATCGCCCACCACAACACCCCCACCTACCGATAAGGAGGTTCTCTTCCCAGCTTACCTCATCAACCTTGTCACCTCCGAGATGTGGAACAACGGTTTCGTCAAGGAATCAGAGCGCTTCCTCGCAAACGTTATGCAGTCGATCCAACAAGAGGTCATGCAGCACGATGCCGAAGACGCGATCAACCCAGGTGCCTTCTGGTTGTCGAACGTCCACGAGATGCTCTCGTTCGTCTTCCTGGCTGAAGACTGGTACGAGCAACAGAAGACCGACAACTACGAGTACGACAGACTGCTGGAGATTGTGAAGCATGATCTTGAGAGTCTCGAGTTCAACATCTACCACACCTGGATGAAGGTGCTCAAGAAGAAGCTGCACAAGATGATCATCCCTGCTATCATCGAATCGCAATCACTACCGGGCTTCGTCACCAACGAGAGCAACCGCTTCCTCGGAAAGCTGCTCCAGGGCAGCAACACTCCTGCCTACAGCATGGACAACTTGCTCACATTACTCAACAGCGTCTACAAGGCCATGAAGGCTTACTACCTGGAAGACTCCATCATCACACAGTGCGTCACTGAGTTGCTGAGGTTGGTGGGTGTCACTGCCTTCAACGACTTGCTCATGCGCCGCAATTTCCTTTCATGGAAGCGAGGTCTGCAGATCAACTACAACATCACCCGTATCGAAGAGTGGTGCAAGTCGCATGACATGCCAGAGGGCACACTGCAACTCGAGCATCTGATGCAAGCAACCAAGTTGCTCCAGCTGAAGAAGGCTACTTTGAACGACATTGAGATTATTCAGGACATCTGCTGGATGCTGAGTCCGAACCAGATCCAAAAGCTGCTGAACCAGTACCTGGTAGCCGACTACGAGCAGCCCATCAACGGCGAGATCATGAAGGCCGTCGCGTCGCGTGTGACGGAGAAGAGCGACGTCCTTCTCCTCACCGCAGTCGACATGGAGGACAGTGGCCCGTACGAGATCGCGGAGCCAAGAGTGATAACAGCACTCGAGACATACACGCCTTCCTGTAAGTATTTTCTTTCAACCATCTACCGCACCATCGGCACACGTCTAATACAATCGACAGGGCTGCAAACCCCCCGCCTCAAGCGCCTCGCAGAGATCGTCTCGCAACAAGCCATTGCGCAGCAAGAGAAGCTCGAGTTCGACGACGACATGCCCAACGGCCAGAGCAACGGCGACGCCATGCAGGCTCTCACCGGCGGCATGGGCATGAACGGCAACGGCATGAACGGCCACGGCACGATTGAAGAAGGAATTGAAGCATGAACTTTAGCATCTTTTGTCAGCACAGCGAGCGAAAATTTGGTATTAGACACATGAAACGACACGCGCGCGCACGAGAAAGACGACAACGCGAGGAGGAAGTAAGCGCCGCAGATGATGATGATGATGGGGAACTCCCAATGTTTGTAAAGTTGTGAGGAGCAAAGCTGTGTCCTTCTTCTTTCTGTCTTCTGGTCTAGTTGCTGGAACTTCTGGGAGGGATGGAAAGGGGGAGGGGTGTTGTTGCTTCGGAATTACTTACTTACTTACTTTTCGTGGGGAGGATTCAGTAGGCGCGTATGACGCATGATGATGTTGGGTATTTAATGCTGGGGTTCTTTTGCGCGAATGATATATCTTTTTTAACTTTATTGGATGCGTGTGTTATGTGTAGCTTGTGTGTGCGGTTGTTGATGTGTCGAGGTGATTGAGAGGACCGACTTCAACACTTCCAGGCACACGGTGGTTGAGCTGCTGACGGATTGCTTTGTTCAACGTTGCTGGTGCCACCTCATACAAGGAAAAACCTGAACAGGCCTGAGGACTACATCAAGACAAAAATCTACCAAGTAGGTGATCCAACAGCAACGTAGACTCCAGGGTGTTCAGTTTTTTCCTAGGTTGGCGTGGTGCCGAAATGCAGGCACAATGCGGTTGAGTGACACAGTACATGATCGCAATGCAGGTGTATTTCCTAAACGCCCTTGTTTCACAGTATGCAGCAGTAGGAGCTGCTGGACGGTTACTTCTACAATTCGCTGCCGAAACCTCCGTATGATAATGTCCTTCGTGTAGCCTCTTACAATGCGAGAAGATTTGCAAGATACGGAGGAACGTGGGTACGTTTGAGGGATACGTAGACAGATTCGGAGACGGCTTGATAAGCAGGATCTTGGTGAAGACCTCCGCGCTGTTGTCTTGTGTCTTTGCTGGAAGGTAAGGGGTATTCGAGAATCATCGAGCAGTGCAACGATTGTTCAAACCTCTTCCCCATCGCGAATTCAGGTTTTCTTTGGTAGTTTGCTAGAAAGCTACCGTATCCACCAAACGATCCGTCTGCGTACTTAGTGACTATTGCCAATGACATACAGATGGCTACATGACCTTTGGGAGCAAGCACGATCTCAAGTACTTATAGGTATAGGAACGAACAGATAGCTTCTCTCATCACTACGATTCCAGGTATCAGTCCTTCCAGTACATTCGAAACTTCTGCCTTCCTTGACAGCTTAAGCCATGACCGATCCAAATTTACCAATCGAATCTCCAAACCGACGTCCTCAGGACTACGCCGATATGACTGGGTGGGGATTTGCACACAAGTTCGATCGCAACGTCCGCGGACACAGGCTGGAGGATGGGCACAAGAAGACTATCCAAGCCGCTGCCGCCATCGCAGACCAACTTAGATGGACTACATCGCAGATGAAGCCAGAGTACTGGCCTGACAAGGAGACATTAGTAGCAAAGCAGTTTCTGATGTCTAATCTGGTGCAGCTCCATCTGGTTTGCTACGAACCTCTGGAAGAGATTCGAAAACACATTATCAAAGTTGATCCTGATCTCTTGGATAAGTTATGTTACTAAACACCTCTCTATGACTGTTACTCAACGATTTGGTGCGGCTAAAGGCTAACTTTATTGCAGAAGTTTAGAAAGGCATGTTGGCAAATGCCGCAACAAGCCCGAGACGTTGAATCCCCAGTTGAGAGCCCCCTACCACCCGATGAGAAGAAAGAGAAGAAGCCAACCGACAAGTTCTCAAAGGACGAGGACTTCCGTAAAGATCGACAGGAGAAGCTCATGGCCAACCAGGGCGCATACTTCGATTACTTCGAGGATGATGGAGGTGACGAAGCGTTCACTTGGGGGGACGCGATAAGATCAGCCCTCAGGACGTGTGATGCCGCCTACTTTGAAATCGATCGTCATCACAGACTGCTCAAACAGCCGGAGAAGAAGTCGGGTTGGCGTTTGGACCGAATGGATGTTTTATCCAAGAGGAGAGGCATGCCGACTCGTTCGAATCAGGAGTTGTTGATCGAACTCGCTCTCAATCATGAGTTCGGTGGTCCTCCGTCTCCAAACAGCCGGACAACAATGGCCAACTGGCAGACCGCAAACGACGTTCAGCGCGCTCTCAACATCCACTTGGGGCGTTTCATGAAGCAAGAACCTGACGGTGGCGCACCTACCGAGACACGTCACTGGACTACCGACTTCGCGCGCAAGTACAACCATCCCCATGCTGCCGAGCCTGCGATGTTCTTCATTTGCACGCACGAGTACATCCGGCCAAATCCCGCGCAGCCAATCACAAAGTGGATTGTTGGAGGCACCACGCCGCTTACAGGAGGAACAACGGTCTGGTTTCCTTGGGCTGACAAGTTTTACAAGGCTGTCAGAGAGCAAGGTCTTGGTAGCGACTTCGTTGCGAAGGTGAAGGCGGCCAATGACGCGCAGAAAGAACATGAACAACGACTGCTTGGCGACACGACAGACCTAACTAAGGATCAACTATTCGAGCAGAACCTGTCTGCTCGAAAAGTCGTCATCGGCCAATTGACGAACGACTCAACCCATCAGAGGTACGTGGCTCGGATTCGCTGCCAGGGCCTAGCGATCAACAGTTTCATGCAGCCAGTCCAATGCTGTTATCGTTGCCAATGCAACTACCAGTACACAGTACTGAGCACACACATGACACCATCACCAGACTACGAGCCGACTATCGATCACTTGAAGAAATACGACTGGGGCAGGCATTGCCCATGGTTTCATCAGTGCGCCGAGGCACTTGCAGCCTGTCAGTGCTTCGCCTTCGATGATGCACAGAACGACGCCAACCGACCCCAGTCTCCCAGAGTGGCCGAGCTGAAAGGAAAGTCTCTCAAGAAAAAGAAGAGCACCCACCTTTTTTAGTTCCAAGAGATGAGTGCGGTTGGTACGACTTTCGCGACACCACATCACTCCGGCATCGACATGCAACTCCTCCATCAAAACCGGCATTGCCTACCCTGCGGCGAAGAACGGTGCTGCTTCCCTCCTGTGGTCGCTTGATCACTGTCGAGCTCTCTTTCTCGTCTCTTCGTCTTTCTTCTCACGATGTTTATTACTCGTGTGTTCTCCTTGTCGCTTCTTTGTCTTACTTTTCGCGTTATTTCCTACTTGCGCATCCTCCTGGCTCCACCGTCCTTTCCCTACCCTTTCCCCTGCCCTTTCCCCTGCCCTTTCCCCTGCCCTTTTCCCTGCCCTTTTCCCTGCCCCTTGTCTCCTTTTCCTTTCACGCCTCCACCCTGTCTAGTGTCCATCTCATGTGGCGTTCGTCCACCTATTACAAATCCCCTTCTCTCATTCTACGTTTGCCTCCCATAGCCACAACCAAAAAACCCAAAAAAAAATACCATTCTTTAAAGTGCTTCCTTACTATGATGTGATATTATGATGTTCTCTCTTAAGTGCCAATGGTGGTCCAACCACCTGTGCATATGCAATCTTGAGTAAGTCTTCGACTTGGATGTGTTGACTTCAACGACTGAACATCATCACTCTACCGCAAGATATGTAGGTCGTATATATGTATTTATTTTGATTTCATCCAGTCGGTCATCTCTTGGCATATACCACGATCGTGAATACCGGGTTTATCATGCCCTCTGCATACATCCAATCTATTTAAAGGTGCCATCGTTCTTCATAATCTATAAAGTTTCAAGGGCTACGTTGTTGATCGCTTCATATGGGTTCGTGCCGCTGTGAGGGTTGGTAGAATCAACGCAGTTCGTAATGAGTTTGGCAAATACTCCTCCATCCGCACGACACATGTTCAATGCATTTGGTATGATACTCACGACTGTAACATTCGTCGTTTTGATAGCATGTCCGTAGAAAAGTAAAAAAATGCTCATGAATCCAACAACAGCGATCAACGTGACGTCGGGATGGAAGAATCTGGTCCGCATACGCACACCGCAAGTGGCGGGCTGACGCAAGCTGAGCACTTGACGATTGCTGTGAAGTTAAACTTTCCGATGTTTTCATGATCTGTTGTCTGCGCGCTTGCGGGGGTATCCAACAAACGCACTTTGATTGGACGGTGCCTAAGGTACCTAGGTAGCACAAACCGTGGTAGCTGAACGCAACCTTGGGGCCCTTTGCCATTCCCCGTACTCAACAAGATTCCAAAAGCCAAACTTAAGCGATTGATGCGCAAAAGCTCAGTTTTCTTTAGCTGGCTGGTATGGATTTCGCGCTCACGCGCGAGCCAAGTGGATTGTCTCCAGGGCTTGCTTGGCCCAACCTTGAAAGGTGAGAGCACGCGGGCGTGGCGCCTGTAATTGCCGCACAAACGCGGTGACTCATCCAAATATCTAGGTACTTATTAAGTGCGCACGCAAATCCTGAAACCACTCGTCCACATTTCTTCGTTGACTTCACCTCGAAATCCGACCTGGTACGAACTATCGATACAACCGCAACTTCGCTTACTCAACAATCTGTATTAGTCGTCATGGATAAGCCGAACTACAAGTCCATCCGAGAGAGGATGTTCGCGAAAAGAGAGAAGCTCCGATCCAAAGGCGATGGCGACACTTCCTCAAAAGATCCTGACGACAAATTCGAGAACGAGGGCCAGATCCTCGAAGCTGCACTACCAAGTGCGGTGGAGCAAGAGAAGTTCTGGGATTGGGTACACGCTGTGGACAAAAAGAGCCGGACAGTACCTGAAGGCGGAACGGCCAAGGATTACATCGATACTCTCGCGAAGACCGACTACGTGGACGACCGATCTCTCGGAAAGCTTTACAAACGCCTGAGCTCATACTTCTACCCTTGTATCCCGATTGGAACCCATCATGGTTATCGTTATGCCGTTAGTCCGTGTATGTTGATACTCGGACCTGATGAAGAAAAAGTCAACTGGGACGACCCACGTGAATTCGCCAGCGAAGGATTCATCGCGATCGATCTGCCAGCTGGAACGAGGATCTCGTACACGAGTCCGGCTCGAGAGCGCTCGGCAAGGCAGCAGGATAATTCTTCAGAAGAATCGCGGTTCAGTTCCTCCAGTACCCACAGCATGGTACAAGGCAACGGTCATACCGGATTTGCTTGCTTTACGATCGGGAAGGTGCAAGCAGTCGACGCAAAGCATTGGTCCGACGATGGCAAGCTACCCGAAGGGAAAGATCTGCAGGAGATTCATTGGGAAGAGACAGATTGGGTCATGGTCGTTGTCATAGATGACGATGGCAAGCCTGGTTCTGTCTGGCTGCTACAAGACTTCGAGCCCATGATCGAAAATACGAACAACATCTACATCATCGAGCAGTCAAATACCCACGGGTGGGGCTACTTCCAGCACCAGCTCGACATGCGTCCGCGACCACAGCAACTTGCTGGTGTGAAGATTGCGAACAGGGTCAGTGACTTGTCCGAAGATTTGAAGTGGACCATGGACGAATACATTACGGCGAAGTACGAAATCGTGCAGGCAGTACTCGCGGAGCGTAAGAACGGTCGGTCGCCTGTCATCGTCAGACAGCTTCCACTGGACAGGGACGAGGGCCAGAATTGGATGGAAAACAGCTCAGGAACTTTGGAAGACGACTCAACGCCGGAACTGTCGAGGCTGCGCATTTGAGACGACTACTAGCGGATAAGAGATGCGAGATAGATACTCTTGGAAGAGTGAGCAGGCGGGCTTTCCATCTGTGTTTTGATCTTAGGTTTGAGTGTTGCAGGAAGCGGTGGTTTTCTTTGTTTCCTTTTGTTCTAGATCTCCTTTGGGTTACGAGTTTGTTCCTTGATTTCTTGCAATGCATGTCATAGAAAAGTCAATCAGTATGTTGCCGAAACCTTGGACATTGTTGCGCCGTGAGAGGAGCTAGCTTAGAAGGACCCTGCTCCCAGTAATCATCATTTTGACGCACATGCCAGATACACTGAATGATGACACCGTTACAGCGAGCAAACGTACATGAAGATGCCAACATGCGAAGTACGAGCAACAGCTCCACGACCATCGGTCGGTCCTAACTGCGCCGAACCAGACGTTCGGGGGTGCGCCACACGGCCCGCTCGGTCTAACAGTCTAGCTCCATCCAGCGGCCGTTTGGCCCTTTCCACGATCCCGACATCCGTAATCATCTCGACAAGCGACACGGCCAAGCCATGGAGCTGACGACGTCTCTCCTCCTTTGCACGCCTTACCCTCCCCTCTTCAGACTAGACTCCTAGACACGAGACAAATACCAACTTCCATTCACTCCCTTGGAACTCTCTTATTGCTTTTCCCACCTTCTTGTTATTTCATACGTGGATGCATTGGGCGCGTTCTTCTAATCGATACCTGGCCCGACCGAGTCCCTGCATATCGCGAACGTAATACGAAATCCTACCACACGATCCGGTTACCCAATGCGCCCTTCCACGTTTCCCTAACTACGCGAAGACCCCCGAGAGCAGCGCACGCGACTGCGCCCACGTTGCTGCCACGGTGCAAGGACGAGGATAGTCCTAGGGGAAGATGCCGTCTGTTGCGCAATGGCAGGGCACACCCTCAGTCAAGGGCTCGACTGAGAGCATGCGCATGGCGTTGCTCACAGCCTCCCTCATCGGCTTGCAGTAAATCCCCGCTTCCCACGAGTTCTACCTGCGCCCTGTACTAAGCACTATGCAGGTTCACGTGGAATGTCGAAATGACATACTGCACACCCTACCTCCTCGAACTCGGGCTTACGAAATCGAAGATATCCCTCGTGTGGGTCGCCGGTCCGCTCTCAGGCCTTATAATGCAGCCTATCGTCGGTGTCGTCGCGGATCGATCTACCTCTCGTTGGGGCCGCCGGAGACCGTTCATGTTCTTTGGTACGATCCTGGTGGCCATGTTCTTGTTGCTGCTAGGCTGGACGAAAGAGGTGGTTCGATACTTTATCAAAGACGAGGCTGCGGCTAAGAGCGCAACGATATACGTGGCGGTGTTTAGTATATACGGTATTGATTTCGCTATCAATGCCGTGCAGGGGAGTTGCAGAGGCCTGGTCGTCGATACATTGCCAATTGCGAAACAGCAAATGGGCAGTAGTTGGGCGAGTAGGATGGTAGCGGTCGGAAGTCTGATTGGGTACGGGGCGGGAGCGATTGATCTGAAGAATGTGTTTGGGCCTATGTTGGGGGATACACAGTTCAAGCAGTTGACGGGTGTTGCGGCGTTGACGCTCTGCTTGGCGATAGGGACAACGAGTTGGGCTGTTACGGAGAGGGTGCTCATTAATGATGGGGCGGAGGAGGGCAAGGAGCTGGATCTTAAGCAAGTTCTCGGTACCATCGTGCATACTGCTTTGAATCTGCCTAGAAGTATCCAGGCTATCTGCACAGTCCAGTTCTGGGCTTGGATTGGTATGTCATTATTATATTGATTCTGTGATCAAGAACTGACAGTGGCTAGGCTGGTTTCCTTTCCTCTTCTACAGCACCACGTGGGTTGGTGAAGTATACCTACGATACGACGCCCCAGCAGAAGTCAAAGCTGCGGGTGACCTCACAGGCAAGGTCGGTCGCATTGGTTCCATGGCCCTCATCGCCTTTTCCATCATTACATTCGTCATGTCTGTTCTCCTGCCTTTCTTCGTACAGAGCCCAGAAGAAGACGAAAAGGGTCCTGGTTTCTCTCGCCCACCTAAGCAGTTAACGGGATTGGCGAAATACAAACCAAGCCTGCTTACCGCGTGGACAACTGCGCATTGTATCTTTGCAGGAAGTATGGTCATGGCACCTTTTGTGAGAAGTCTGAGGCACGCAACCATCATCATCGCTTGCTGTGGCGTGTAAGTCACCACCATCATTACATCACGCATGAAGCCTGGATTAACACAACACAGATCATGGTCCGTCGCCTGCTGGGCTCCTTTCGCCTTCCTCGGCGTAGAAATCAACCGCCTCAATACCTCCACCTCGCACTCCGCCCACCCAAAGCGCACCTCTATCGACCTTCCCGAAGCGCAATCCAACCTCGAAAAGGGCAGCGCGCCTTCCTCCAGCGGCGGAGCAAGCTCAGGGCAATACCTTGGCATCATGAATCTGTATACCACGCTACCTCAGTTCATGGGCACAGGGATCTCGTGGGTAGTGTTTTCCATCCTGGAGCCCGGGAAAAGCCCGGAGTTGAGCGAGGCGCCGCCAGAGGAACACCACAAGACGGATGGCCCGAATGCGATTGCAGTTTGTCTGTTCATTGGGGCTTGTTCGGCGTGTATGGCCGTTGTGGCTACGAGGAGGTTGGGGAGGATACAGGGAAGACTGTAGAAGCATCATTGCCATGTCCATGTCAAAAGGTTCAGTTCTTGCTTCACGATTGCAACTGCCGGAAATAGTGTGCTTGCACAGGCCGCTAGTCGCCAGTAGAGAACATGACTCTTGGGGACATCCACCCCCAACATGCTGCCATCCGTGGTTGCCCAGGAGCGCTTTCCGCTTTTGGGTTTAGGCAAGCGCGATGGGGCCAGAGAGATTTTGCTAAGGGTTTGCTAAGGATTTTCCAGAGACCCGCTTTGTTCTAGAAGGCAGGTGTGGCTACTAATCGAAGCTGACGCTGATCGGACGTGTGTAGAGATCGTATTCGCTCCAGGGCGGCCGTGGCGGTATACAGCACCTCAGTGTAAGTACGGTGTGCGCAATAGTTCAATCGGGGCATTTTCCGGCCGGCTTTGGGCAGGTCGGAGGAAAAGGCTCGTCAACCAATGCAATGAAAAATATGCGCTCCCCATGTCCCCATGTCCCCTCTCCCAGTACCGGCGGGCAAGGTCGGCCGTGGCCACGGTGCAGGCAGTCGACGTGGTAGACTACTGCGCGCACAAGCAAGTGAGGTATCGCCGCCAGATAAACTTGAGTCGCCCGTCTACAGTGTCGGAGAGATGCAAGGCAGGGCACACGTGCCACGCCTCTGCCCAAAAGACGGTCAAGGTACAAATAGACACGCCGCCCGCCTCTGCCTCGCGCACTGCATCTCTCCCCGTCCACGGCAGCGTCGATAGTCTTGGTGGTCGCAAAGGCTTTGTTTGTTGCCGTCTCGCAGTGTCCGGTTGGAATTCGCACTAGGCGTGACTAGTGCCGTAGAGGGGCGACCTTGCCTTGCCCAGCGCCTGTTCTTCTCGCTCAGCCCGCCGAACAATTCTGCGGCTCACCCACAACATCCACCTTTTGCACCCCAACTCGCCACTCGCAGTCCGACATCACTCATTTGCCAAGATGTCTGAGCCGATCCGCAATAAGAAGATGGACTCCATCTCCGCCCCGTAAGTCGCTTCCCTCCCCTCCGCCACACAATTTTGGCCTCGCCCAAACACCACCATCACACACCCCCAACATGGACGTACCACATTCTAACGTGCGCCCTGCCAGTACCCCCCAGAACACACCCGCCAATGCCGCGCCCATATCGTCGCGCGCCCAGCAGCCCGGCGTCAGCAGCATCAAGGAAGGTACGTCGCACTCTGCCACGCTCCTGCCCCTCCAACCCCGCCTTGTATTCTCGTGAAGGCCTTGACCGCTAACTCGCTTTTTCGCAGAGGAACTAGAGCGCACTGCCGCCGGTCTCTTCGCTGCCAACCCCGCCCTCGTCGCCATGATGCAGAACAAGCTCGGCTCGCTCGTCGGCCGCTCCAGCGGCTACATTGAGTCGCTGCCTGCCTCGGTCCGCCGCCGTGTCGCCGGCCTCAAGGGCGTCCAGAAGGAGCACTCCAAGCTCGAGGCCGAGTTCCAAGAGGAGGTCCTGCAGCTCGAGAAGAAGTACTTCGCCAAGTTCACACCGCTATACCAGACCCGTGCCAAGATCGTCAACGGCGCCGAGGAGCCCTCAGAAGACCGCGTCAAGGTCGGCGAGCAGGTAGACGAGGACGACGAGGACGAGGACCAGCCCGAGGCTGAGCTCAACAAGGACGAGGGCAAGGACGTCAAGGGTATCCCAGAGTTCTGGCTCAGCGCCATGAAGAACCAGATCTCGCTCGCCGAGATGATCACAGACCGCGACGAGGCTGCTCTCAAGCACCTGACCGACATCCGCATGGAGTACCTCGACCGGCCCGGTTTCCGCCTCATCTTCGAATTCGAGGAGAACGAGTTCTTCACCAACAAGACCATCACCAAGACCTACTTCTACCAGGAGGAGAACGGCTACGGCGGCGACTTCATCTACGACCACGCCGAGGGTGACAAGGTCGACTGGAAGGCCGGCAAGGACCTGACCGTCCGCATCGAGAGCAAGAAGCAGAGGAACAAGAGTGAGCATCTTGACATCTGTCGGTATTTGACTAGCAACTAACTTTCTCAGACACCAAGCAGACCCGCGTCGTTAAGAAGACCGTGCCTACAGAGTCGTTCTTCAACTTCTTCGACCCACCCAAGCCCCCACAAGACGACGACGACGCCACCTCCGATATCGAGGAGCGTCTCGAACTCGACTACCAGCTCGGTGAGGACATCAAGGAGAAGCTCATTCCCCGCGCCATTGACTGGTTCACCGGCGAGGCTCTTCAGTACGAGAACATTGAGGACTTCGACGAGGGCGAGTTTGAAGACGAGGACGATGAGGACGAGGACGAGCTCAGCGATGACCGCGACGAGGAGGAGGAGTCAGACGACGAGGTAAGCAGTCCAAGTCACTCTACAGAACACAGCCATCTAACGCAGTATCAGAACGATGGCACAAAACCAAAGCAGGAGGCTGCTGAGTGCAAGCAGAGCTAAATGCTGCACCAAAAACTCTCGCATTCCCCAGATCACAATATCCCCAGTCGTTTTGAGCGGCATGTTCGGTCCAGGCTAGCCTCCCAGTCGCCTTCCATCACACTGAGATGTCTCTTAAACGACTCTCTGCGTCCGATATTTCACTTCACGATTTCTTACTCGGCGTAATACTGCATCAAAAGAGTTCAGGGGTGTTCGTTCGGCAATGGTTGGTTGGAGCTCTCTCTGGACTAGATATCTTAAGAACTACTCAGTTCTCCCCCTCCCCCCACCACTTCTTCCCGCCCCTCCAGACATTTGCTCGAATAGGTTACTGGATTCTTGCCACCAACGATCACTAGCATCTAAGGCGTTGTCTAGGTGGGGTTTTGCAGCATGTTTCCTTGGGTCAGGCATGTCATGTTTACGAGGTTTTTTAGACGGCGTAAATAGTCTTGAGCGCATGTCACGGGTCAATGAAAGAAAAGTTTGAAGCCTCACTTTTGGGTAGTAGCCAGCGTGACCTGTATGATTTAGAGGTGATGCTCAACCTCGGTAGGATTATGCGATAACGGTCGCCTCACCTTGCTATGTAGCCTACCACGTCTCGCTTTCGAGAGCCGACGTATATGCTTTGCTTGTCTACATATCCTTGCACCCAGCGTCATACCTGAGATGTCGTGCGTGTGCTTGCCTTGGGGGTCCATGTCAAGATGCGTAGTGCGGGGTGGTGGGGGTTGTGCCGGGTGAAGTTCGGGCGTCGAAAAATAATTCTGGAATGCGACATCATCGGACGCGCCAGAGGACTTGACGCTACACCATACTATACCTCTCTCACATCTCAAATTCCTCTCCAATTACCGCGCAAAGCGTATCTACTATCTGAGAATCGGATATACTCGGCTATCCTATACATCGCCGCCCGCGCAACCCACGACACCCTACGCGATCTCTCCACGCGACCGACTCTGCGACGAGCCTCCACAACACCATGGCGCGCCAGAACCCCAACATCGTTATTACGGGCACACCTGGAGTAGGAAAGACGACACATGCAGAGCAATTAGCGCAAGCAACAGGATTCCAGCACATCTCGGTGAACCAAATAGTAAAAGACGAAGGCTACCACGAGGGCAAAGACGAAGAAACAGGAAGTTGGATTGTAGACGAAGACAAAGTACGCATAGCCACTTAGCCACCCCATCCCAGCCAAACTCTACGAACCCACATCACTAACCCCACCCCTTTAGCTGCTCGACCACCTAGAATCCCTCTCCCTCGCCGACAAAGGCGGCTACATCCTCGACTGGCACGCGTGCGACCTCTTCCCTGAGCGCTGGATCGACCTCGTCATTGTGCTGCGCTGCGACTCGACGTTACTATATGACCGCCTTACCGCGCGCGGCTACAAGGGGAAGAAGCTGGAGGAGAATATGGATAGTGAGATTATGCAGGTGTTGCTTGATGAGGCGAGGGAGAGCTATAAAGAGGAGATTGTGGTCGAGTTGAAGAGCGAGAGTAATGAGGATGTGGAGGGGAATCTGGAGAGGGTGGAGCGGTGGGTTGAGCAGTGGAGGAGGGATAGACAGGAGTAGGGGGTTGGGCGGAAGATGAGTGGGGTGCTGAGAATGGACGGATGGGTGGGATATGTGTGATGCGTTATGTGTTATGATACCAATACGGCATTTATGGGATGATGATGGTGGGTGTGGTGGCTTCATGCACCGCCCCGATTCTCTCCATTGAGAAGTATGAGCACAATGATGATTGTTGAGCTCTACGCCCCAGTCTTCTGACTCGCCAACCATTCCTTCAACTTATCCAGCGCCTTCGCTCGATGGCTAATCTTGTTCTTCTCGCTCTTGTCCATTTCAGCGTATGTCTGACCTTCGTACTCAAAGCATGAGTCCCACCCTATATACACGCTGTTAGCCTCTTCCCATCTCCATTACACAGCCCTCCAACACAATTGAAAGGAAAGGCGCGAATTGCTGACTTACCGAAGACGGTAGATCCCCGACTTTCCACCAACTTTCCGTCGGTACGGCCTTGGAAGAGGATGGCTTCGTGTCCGGGGCCTTCGCAGTACCCAAATGTGCATACGGCTTGGGCGGATTTGTCGTCGAAGCCTGAGAGCATTTTGTGTAGGTTGGGGGCGCCGAGGGAGAGCATGAACCATTTGCTAAGGGAGGGAGGTTAGATGGGTGGGTTTGAAGGAGGGGAATGTGGAATATTGGGTTTTGTAGCATGAAGGGGGAAATGGAAAGAGAGACTAGATGAGATGAGATAAGAAGAAGTGTGAGCGTACATGTAAGGGCCAGGCAGGTCATTCATGGCTTTGAAGCAGAGACATGTGTCTTCTACTAGGACGGGGCCTTGTACCTATAATCAATCACATTGTCAGTACTTGTAGAAGACTTTCTCTTTGGCATCACGACTTACAGCCTCAGCTGCTCTCAGTGCTTTGTCTTTTGTAACTTCCTCAACTGTGCCTTGGATTTCGACTAGGTCGACATTTTGGTTGCGGAGCTCGATGACGCCGGAGAGGATGGCTTGGACTTCGGCGAGCTTGTTTTTGTTGC